GGGCTCCCCAGCCACTGAGCTCCCACCTCAGGGGAAACGGGCCCCCTCCAGGGGGTACTTACAGGGTAAGCCGGGATAGCCATGGGTACCTGTGGGCACAAGGACAGAAAGGGGTGAAGACCCCACATTTAGGACGGGAAGGTGCCAAGGGGGCCTCCACTAGGGAACTCTGATTTCAAAGGGTAACACCCAGATGACCAGTCGATGGAGAGAGACTCGCCATGTTTAGGGGTCACCAAGGCCTGTCCAAGGTCACCCCAACCCTGTAGGACAACACCCAGTAAATTCTGTTCTCTGTACCCTCCTGTCTCCCTGCTGCCCCAGCGCACTCCCTCCTTCATCCTCCTGTGCCTTTGGCTCAGAGCTGCGTCAGGAAGTGGAAGCGCCTGGCACCTCCTCCAGGCCGAGGGTGACTCCTTGTTCTAACCACAGCCATCATTTGCACCCGGCCCAGCTAAGCGCACCTGCCGCTGGGGCAATACCGAGTCTGAGCCCAGGAGCTCAAAGAACTCTTGAGTTCCTTAGGCCCTCTCGGTCTCTGCGTGTGTGTGTACACGTGCGTGTGTGTGTGTGCACGTGCGTGTGTCTCCCCGTCTGTGCTTCTCTGTTTTCTCTCTCTCTCTCATGACTACACCTCAGTACCAGTGGCCTCTTCTGCCTGGAATACTTTTTCCCTCCCTATCTTCTGTTCTCTATTTTCTTTTTTTTTTTACATTTTTGCCATAAGTGTGTGCACTCTCAGGCGAGACAGAAAGAATGAGAAATCACCTCCGGGGCGCCGGGAGGGTGGGGTGGATGGCCACACCACCACAATTCCTTCTCCTCCACTCTCCACTTGGGATTTTAAGCATGTACGCGCACAGACCTGGCGTGGGTTTCAAGCCACAGGATCTGGAACCTGAAGCCCTACGTTGGCCACGTGGGATCCAGCGCCTTAACTGCTGGAAGCTGCTGGCCCCTCCTCGCCTTTACAAAATGAACTCCTTCCCTCTTAGCCAGCTAAAAAAATCCGAAGGCCCGTTATAAACCCCTCCATCGTGGCTTCCTTTTTGAAAGGAAACTGACGAATCAGGCTAGTTCATGAACACCCGCGGGCCTGTGACTCCTTACGGGGAAAGGTGCCTGACCTTCCTCATCAGGGGGGCCAAGGCGGTCAGAGGCTGAGCACAGACCCCTGCCGCAGGCCAGCTCCGCGACCTTGGGCCAGTTACTCAAGCTCTCTGTGCCCCAGTTCTGGCGTCTGTAAAATAGGGTTGACGATCCGAAGAGTATTACTCTCTTTCGGGTCACAGGAGAATCAGCCAGGCAGCTCCCTCAGCTGTGGGTGGGTGGGCGTGTCGCTAAGTCAGTGTGTGCCTGCCCCACCTGTCCCTTTGCCTCTGCCCAGGCGACACTGCCCATCCCCTTTCCTTGTGGTTTGATCCCACACTCTCTAGCTCTCTGAGCTTTCCTTCTATGGCTGTGAACTTGCCCTTCGGACAGTCCGCCATTCTGAGTGGCCCAGCTGCTGCGTGCAGGTGAGGAGCACGCCATTTTTACCCACTGTCCTGTTGAAGAGTGTGTCGCGGTCCGGGGTCGTTTTGGGGCTGTTCGGGTTGGCGCTGCCGTGGCGTCGCCGTGGATGTGAGCGGGTGGTGGCTGTCCAGGGGAGTGTCCCCACCACCGGGCCTGTGCGTGTTCAGCTTTCCCCATACTGCCCAGCCACTCTCCAAGGTGTTTGCACCCGTTTCCACACCCGGCCGCTTTGGCTGTCCCCTGTGCCACCGACACCAGGACTGTACTCCTTTTCCTTTCTGGTGGGCAGGCAGTGCTAGTCACTGTGGTCTCGCTGGCCTTCCCAGGTGACTCATGGTACTGGGCAACTTCTCCTGACTTATGTGTTCAAATACTCTCTGCTTCTTATCTTTGCTTCCTCACTCAGTTTACTCACCTCCCCTCCTCCAGGAAGCCCTTCCTGATCCCCCACTGCGAGGCCAAGCCCTTCTGTAGGCTCGCCCAGTCTCTTGTTCATGCCCCATGTGGCCCTGATACCCGCAGTTATCCCTGACTGGCGATGTGGCCGTCTTTCCAGTGGGCTGTCTTGGTCACCCCTGGGTCCCTGGTATCAGCTGATGGAAGAACAGGCACGGAGCAGGCGAACGTGGGAATGAATTCGGGAAGCCAGGAGGGAACCACACACCTGGTTGGGGGGCGGCTGGCCTCCAATGAAGTTGATTGACTGGAGCTCCAGGTCTCCATCCACTTGCAGGTGTGTGACCATCTGGAGGGGCAGCCGATGCCCGAACTCATAGAAGGGGTTTCCGTTTACCACCACCTGAGGGCAGGGAGGAGGGGTCAGGGGTCAGCATCCGAGGTCTCAGGAAGGTGGAAACAGGAAGCAGGCAACAGGGATCTTTTTGATTTGGAAGTCAAATATCTTGGAAGTGAGTTGGGATAGCCTTGGAGTCTGGAACCTTGGCGTCTACGGGTCAGAGGCCGACCTGGGGGGTAAAAGTCAGTTTGCAGACTGGTGGACGGGAAGGAATGGAGCATCTGGTCTGGGGATGGAGATCGGGGCAGAGCCAGGACTGAGTCCTGCTTTTGACACCAAATGAGTTGGTCTAGCTCTGACATAGCCTGGCTATGTGACCTCAGGTAAGTCACTCTACCTGAGCCTTTGTTTCCTCATCTGTAAGATACAACCCACTTGGCCTGAAGGTGGCATGGTGGTTCAGGGCGCTGGGTTCCCACGTGGCCAACCGCGGTTCAAGTCCTGGACCTGGTGGCTTGCCTTTTCACTTTCTCACTCTGTCCCTCTCTGGTCACATTAAAATAAATAAATAAAAATGAATTAATGAAAAAAATGAAGAATTAAAAAAGAAATAGAGTTCACTTATCTCTGGGATTGATGGGAAGATGAAAACCCAGTAAGGTATGGTGAAGGTGCGTGGCCATCTCGGTGGGCCTGGCCTTGTTACCCTAACTCGGGACACTTCACGTCACTATGGTTTCTCTTCGCAGTGCGAAGCGCAGGCAGGGGGCCGAGGGCCAGCTCTGCAGGACCGGGCGCCACACGTGGTGATAGCAACACGGTGGTTCTCTCAGCAGCTCCATGAGGCAGGACACGGGATGGTCCCCCTGGTTCAGGAAAACAGAGGCTGCAGGCAGTAGAGTAACCAGCTCACAGTCACACCTTGAGGGAGTGGCACCGTCTAGATGTGAACCCAACCATGCTCTATAGCTCTGGCGATCAGGTTAGAAACCGGTGCTTGAGGCTGGCAAAACGAGGCACCCTGCAAGGCTGACCAACACAGGCAGTTCCGGGTTGGTGTCCAGAGACCTCCCTGAACACGCCGGGAGCACGTGTGCCCATGGTCCAGGGCTGGCGGAGGCTGGGGCTATCTTTTGTTTATGGAAGAAATAAACTTAAAAACAAAGAATGCAGTGCCCATACAAGGTCAGATACATCCAGGTAGTCTCCCCCACTGCAGGGTTCCCATCCAGCAGACGCCTCTTCTAAGCCATGTGGAATGCGCACTAGGACATCTGCTGCAGTGGATTTACGGGGAGCCCGAGGCATGGGATGGGGCAAACTCAGAGGGTGGATGACATGACATCAGAAGCAGGCCTGGTGTGCCCCATCCAACACACAACACGACAAGTGAGAACTAGAAGGTGCTGGCCCAGCACTCAGATGCAGAGACTTTCTTTCGTTCTTGTTTTTTGGAGAGGTTTTTGCTATAGGGCGCGTGCACCCACTAGAAAGACAGAGAGAGACAGAGAGACAGAAAGCGAGAGATCGCCCTCCAGAGGGGATGGCCATGCCGTAATCCCTTCTCCTCCATTCTCCTCTCGGGATCTTGGGCACACATGCACACGTGCCCGACATGAGTTTAAGCCACCAGGTCCAGGACTCGAACCACAGTTGACTACATGGGAGTCCAGCAACATAGCCATTATGCCAACTGCTGGTCCCAGATGCGTAGACTTTCAAAGACAGATCCAGGCTGGGAGAAGTCAGGATAAAGACCACCCTTGGGAAACAGGGGCCCAGGCAGACACGAGGCGGGTCTGGGACTGGAAAGGCTATTCTCAGACCAAGGTGCTGGTGGCACGGGTGTGTTCTCCCTGTGACAAGTAAGCGAGCTGTGGGCATGAACACACTTCTCTACCTGGTCCCAGTGCGATAAACCATTCCCAAATGTTTACGACGCAGTTGGGCAGTTACCACGTGTGGGCACTTGCACCCTGATTCAAGCACAGCACATGCCGACAGGTCCCATGGCATTTCTGAGACCATCAGAACTGGCTGGGATATGCAATGACACTAGGGAGGAGCTGTTCACTTTTAGGTGTGATATTGGCACATCCTTGACTGTGTTTTTAAAAAAGGAATGGGGCCTGCAGGTGGTACAGTGGCTGTGGCACTGGACTCCCACTTGGCCAACCGCAGTTTGAGTCCTGGACCCGGTGGCTTGAAACTCAATGCTGGGCCCATGTGTGTGTGTATGACTAAAATCCTGAGAGAAGAATGGAGGAGAAGGGATTAGGGCGTGGCCATCTCCCCAGGGGGTAGGGTGGGGTGGGGGGGGCGGTGATTTCTCGCTTTCTATCTCTCTGTCTCTCTCTGTCTGTCTGGTGAGCGCATGCACCCTATAGCAAAAACCTCTCCAAAAGAGAAAAAAAAAAAATTTTAACTGCTGTCCTTGGCATGGTGCCATACTGGGCTCATGCATGTGCATGCCCTAAATCCCAACAGAATGGAGAAATGGAGAAGGGATTGTGGCATGCCCATGCCATGCCCCATTGGGGGTGCTTTCTCCCTCCCTCTCTTTTTCTCTTTCTCTCTCTCCGGTGACTACAGGCACCCTCTGGCAATGAAAAAAATAAAAAGGGGGCTGGCAGGTGTCATAGTGGTTAACAGCGCCAGACTCCCATATGGCCTACCATGGTTCGAGTCCTAGACCTGGCAGCTTGCTGTCTCACTTTCCCTTTCTCTCTCTCTCTCTGTCCCTCTCTGGCCAAATTAAAATAAATAAATTAATTAATTAAAGTTCAATAAAATAATAATTAAAAAAAAGAAAGAATAATGAAGAAAAGGGATATGTTTATGAATGACATTAGGTGCTGTCTGGAATATCCCTTAAATAATAAGGGAGGTGGAAGCCGAGGTAGAGAGGGAAGTGGAGGGACCCTGAGGACAACTGGGGGAGCGCGGGGGCATGCACTCCCAGGACGCTCCCTTCCTTTTGCGCATGTGCAGAGCTCCTTAGAACAGCAAGGGGACACATTTTGCAAGAACACACAGAATGAGATGGCCGGAGGCTCTCACCGTGTTAGGAGGCTCTCAGCAGGGCAGGAAGGAACTTCTTACTACTGGGAAAGTAAGAGAGGAGGAGGAAGAAAGGAAAGAAGGGAGGAAGGAAGGACATAGAGAAAGAGGAGGACAGAGAGGAAGGGCTGGGAGGGCCGCCCCACACCACCTTGTAGTGCTCTGCCAAGACCATGAAGACCAGCTCGAAGGGGGAGCCCTTGCGGAAGGGCATGCTCTTCTTCCTCTCCTCGCTGCCCCACTGGCCGTTCTGCTGAGAGTTGAAGACCACCTTGTCCCAGCCATCGAAGCGGGGATTGAAGTGGAAGGCGATGTCCGACCCAGGGCCCTGCCCCACCACGAAGTTCACGAAGAACCTGGCAGGACGTGAAGAGCTCGTTCGCACCTGCCACCTGCCGTGCGTGGGGCCCTCCTCTGCACCGGCCACCTGCCATGCGTGGGGCCCTCTTCAGGAAAGCCCCCTCTGACCCTCCCTGCCCCAGAGCTCCCTGCCCTGGACCTCAGCGCCAGCTCAGACCTTGGTACTGCTGGCCCAAGTGACGGGGGGTCGCTCCCCTGAGTCCCTAGAGACAGAGTCCTGCATTCACCCCTTTGCTGGCCACCACCTCCCCCAGTGTCTCCCCAACTTAAAACACCACCGCCACTGGGATTCCATTTACCGCAGCCCCGCCCTGCTGTGTGCACTGGACATCTCTCCCCGAGGCCTCCCTCTCCCTCCCCAGTCCTGTTGGTCATTCCCCACATGCAGCCAAAGGCACCTGTGAACAGCCAAGTCAGCACGACCCGCCCCACCCTCTGCCTCTGCCTCTGCCAAGTCAGGGCAGACACACCTCTGTCTCAGGGCCTCTGCACTGGCTGCTCCTTCTGCCCGGGACACCCCTCTGTCCACTGTGCCCAAGGTTCCCTACCTAACCTGCTTTAGGTCTTTGCTGAAATGGTCCCTTCCCAGGGAGGCCTTTCCTGGCCACCCTACTTAAAGGGACGTTGCCACCCCTCCCTCACATACATTCCCCATCTCTGTTCCCTTCTTCTTTCCTTTCTCCATAACATTTATCCCCATCTGACATATTATTATTATTATTATTTTAATTGCAAGAGGGGCTCTGGGGGTCAGCAGGTGGCATGGTGGTTAAGGGCACTGGACTCCCACATGCCCGACCACAGTTGGAGTCCTGGACCTAGTGGCTTGCTTTCTCACTTTTTTTCTCTATCTCTCTCTCTCTTACTCTGTCCCTCTCTGGTGAGATTCCACCCCTCCCTCACATACATTCCTATCTCTGTTCCCTCCTTCTTTCCTTCCTCCGTAACATTTATCCCCATCCAACATATTATTATTATTATTTTAATTGCAAGAGGGGCTCTGGGGGTCAGCAGGTGGCATGGTGGTTAAGGGCACTGGACTCCCACATGCCCGACTACAGTTGGAGTCCTGGACCTGGCAGCTTGCTTTCTCACTTTCTCTCTCTCTCTCTCTCTCTCTCTGTCCCTCTCTTGTGACAGACAAAAAAATAAATAAATAAAGTTAAATAAAATAATTCTTAAAAATAAAAGAGGGAACCTGGCAGGCACTTGCCAGAAGGAAAGAGGGAGCAGGAAAAAGCACTGTCCCCAGGGGAAACGGGGACATTGCAGTCCCTTGTCCTCCATTTCTCCAACTTGTTGGAATCTGAGACATGCACGCACACACACTGGGTGCGTTTTTCAAGCCACCAGGGCTGGGATTCAAACTGCAGCCAGCCACTTGGGCCCCCTTAGTCACTTAGGCCGCAGGGCCAGCTCAGTCTGGCACACATGTCGGATTTCTCTCTGTCGACTCCTGCAGGCAGAGGTCTCTGTCCTGCTCCTCCTCCGACCTGCCCCATCCTGAGCGCTAGGCGCAGAGTGGGTGCCGACGAATCAATGAGTAAGGAGACAGGCATTCTTGGAGGTGATGCCAGTTATCACTACACGAAGGCCCTGAAACCTAGGACTGAGAGACTTCTGGAGGCCCGGCTGCGATGCCAGGCAGTAGGGAGCTGCATGAAATACGGAGCCACCCCGGAAGGCCGGGGGTTTGGATCCCTGAGCGTCCCAAGTACACTGTGGTCCTGCTGGCTGAAAGGCTGTGGGAGGATGGAGGCCTGACAAGATCCTGTCTGGGGTCCCCGTCTCTCTCTCTCTCTCTTTCTCTCAATAAATAAATGAACTTCAAGAAAAAAGACTGACGGCACGTACTTCCCGGTGCTCGCCGTTTTGCATACTGAATCCTGACCAGAGTCTCATCTCACAGGTGGGAAACAGGCACAGAAAGCCAGCTTCCTCGGTCACACAGCCTGTCAGGGCAGAGCTGGGATTTGAACTCAGAGGCCCGGCTCTGAGCCTGTAACCTTGATTCGTGCTGCCGCATGCGTCAGTTCCAGCCCGACGTCCCAGCTCTGCGGCCATCTCTCAGGGCGAGCCCTCCTTAACCTCTCCCAGCCCCAGGGTCCTCTTCTGATCTGACCTCCCGGCCCTGCACTCCCCAGACCAGGGCTGGTGGCAAAGGGTCCCTCTCCAAGCAGGGTGGAAGGAGGGAGGAAGGCCACACCCACCGGGACAAGGGAGCGTCTTACCTCTTCATGTGATCGCTAGCCACTCCCTGGATGTACACGGACATCCCGATGCTCAGACCACCCGGGATGGGCTTGTTGTATGGCAGAGTCTGTGGGAGGGGCCGTGTGAGCAGCCTCTATCCCTCACCACAAAGCCCCCCAGGCCCGTTAGCAGGAGAGAGGAAGGTACGAGTGAGGGAACATGGTGAAGCGAAGGGGGCCGAGGGCAAGGCGTAGACAGTGCAGGGGAGCAAGCCCAGTCAGTGCTGGGTAAACCAGACCTAAGGTGGGGGCCTGAGGATCAGGGTAGGGGCGAGTAGTATGTGGGGGTCAGGGTGGAGTTCGGCCAGGGCTTGGCTGGTATCTCACCGGGTTGTAGGTGGGCTGGTAGCCCGGTGCAGGGACAAAGGCCATCCTGAGAGGCTGGGCTGGTGGCTTGTCCTGGAGAAGAGCTGTGGAATGGGAAATGGTGGCAGATGGCAGGTGGGGGTGGCTCTTATACCAGAGGGCGAGGGAGTGGCTGGCAGGGGAGGCCCACAGGGTCTCTCTTCCGGTGATCCTAGGCTCTCACTCCCCAGTCTCCCTTCTCTGGCCAGCTTCCCTGGTGACCAGCCAAGTTGCAGATCATCTGGGTCCCCTCCCCTAGGCTCTCCCTGCAAAGAGGAAGTGCTAGTGAACTTCAGCCCTGCCAGGGCCTTATCAGAGCCCATAAAACCCTGCCCAACCTTTGTTGGCAGAGGAAGGGTGGGAGCAGGTGGGTCGGGCAGGGCAGGGCAGGGCTGCAGAGGGCCCTAGGACAGGTGGGTAGTGGAGGTGAAAGCTGGAAGGAGCTGGGTGTACTTGACTCTCCCAGGAACTGTGTAAGGACTCACATTTATTTATTTATTTTAATCTCACCAGAGAGGGACAGAGTAAGAGAGAGAGAGATAGAGAAAAAAAGTGAGAAAGCAAGCCACTAGGTCCAGGACTCCAACTGTGGTCGGGCATGTGGGAGTCCAGTGCCCTTAACCACCATGCCACCTGCTGACCCCCAGAGCCCCTCTTGCAATTAAAATAATAATAATAATAATATGTCAGATGGGGATAAATGTTATGGAGAAAGGAAAGAAGAAGGGAACAGAGATGGGGAATGTATGTGAGGGAGGGGTGGCAACGTCCCTTTAAGTAGGGTGGCCAGGAAAGGCCTCCCTGGGAAGGGACCATTTCAGCAAAGACCTAAAGCAGGTTAGGTAGGGAACCTTGGGGACAGTGGACGGAGGGGTGTCCCGGGCAGAAGGAGCAGCCAGTGCAGAGGCCCTGAGACAGAGGTGCGTCT